CTCAAATAAATAAATCTTGAAAAAAATAAAAACATTTCATAAATTTAGTTAACTGTAAAGATAATATGAACAAAAAGAGTATTAGAAATTAGATTTTGCCAAATAGGATGAAGATTCATAAAGCGTTTAAGTAATTACACTAAAGGAAAAACAGCTGTGTTATACTGAAGGAAGCCTGGGCTCATATAATAGTTTTGCTGTGTCCTAGCTATGCTATTGTGGGTATACCACTTACTCTCAATTTTAGTTTCCTCACCCAATCTAGTATATCACTAGGATATTAAGGCCTACATGACATGGAGGGCTTCCGGAGCTTGAAGGAAGGAGGGCAAGGCAGTGGAGTTCACCTTTAAGAAGTCTGCCAGGGGCCTAGAATCTCTCTGTGTCCCCAGACCTGGTGAGGTATTCAGTATTGGGAGTGAGAGGTGGCCAAAGGGGAAGAACATGCAGAAGCATAGATGCAAATGAGACTGGTGCTACAGTTGAATGTCTAGACCATCAAGCCAAGGAATGCATACTACTCCAAAAGTGCCACTTCTATCAGAGCATTGGCCAGATGATGGCCTCACATCCACTGAAAGCCCAGCAGACCCCAACCTCATAGAGAAAGCCAGCTTACCTTCAGGAAGAGGATGAGATTCACAGACCTGCCCTCCTCCCAGAGGCAGAGAATTTAGCCATGGTGGGTAAGTGATTATCCTTTTGCAATCAGAAAAGTTCAAGGAACATGAAGCAAACAGTAGAAAAAGCAGGGTAGATAGGGTCAGTATAGGCACCTGGTACTGCCATATTTCTTAGTCCAGGATCCATAGCATCACCTCCTCTTCTCTCGGTGAGGGGAAGGAGTGAGGCAAAGAAACTCCAACACTGCTATTCAAACAAGGGCTTTCATGGAAAATTTTCCTAGAACTTGCACACTTTATCTGAAACTCCACTCCCACAATCTCAAGCTTTTGAAAGTGATCTGGATAGGGAAGTTGTTTTGAGAGAATATATAAGAAGAGTGTACGTTCTGCTGTTGTTGGGTGAATTACTATAATGTTAAGATGGCAAATTCCCCAAATTGATCTGTAATCCCTGTCAAAATTCCCAACGGCTGTTTTTCAGAAATGGACAAGGTGATCTTAAAATTCCTATGAAATTGCAAGGTATACAGAATAGCAGAAGCAATTTTGAAAAGGAAAAACAAAAGGAGGATTCACATTTCCTGATTTCAAATTTACAGTAATTATAACTTTATTTTGAAAACTTACAGTAATTAAAGTGTGGTAGTGGCATAAAGGCAGACAGAGATGAACGGAGTCAACTTGAGAGTCCAGAAATAAATCCTTACATTTATAGGTCATTAATTTTCAGCAAGGGTATCAACACCATTCAATGGGGGAAAGAATATCTTTTCAACAAATAGTGCTAGGACAACTGAATATATATGCTCCTACTCTCACATCATGTACAAAATTAACTTGATTAAGTAATAGTTTCTTAGATATGACACCAAAAGTACATGTAATCAAAGAAGAAGTAAACTGGACTTCATCAAAATTTAAAACTTTTGTGCATCAAAGGGATGCTACCAAGAAAGTGAAAAGACAACCCAGAGAATCTGTGATAAGGTGATTGTACTGAGAATACACAAAAGTAAAACAACAAAAATATTACTTAAAAATGGGTAACTAATTTGAGTAGCTATTTCTCCAAAGAGAATATACAGATAGCCAATAAGTATGTGAAAAAATGCTCAACATCATCAAAGAAATGCAAATTAAAACCACAATGAGATACTACTTCACACCTACTAGGATGGCTAGAATCAAAGAGTCAGATAACAGCAAGGAGGATCTGGAGAAATTGGAACCCTCCCCATTCACTGGCAGTGGGAATGTAAAATGGTGCAGCTGCTGTAGAAAAGAGTTTGACAGTTTTTCAAGAAGTTAAAGATGGAATTATCATGTAAGTCAGCAATTCCATCCCTAAGTATCTAATCAAGAAAACTGAAATATGATTCAGCTACAAAAAGGAGTGAAGTACTGTTACATATAACAACATGGATGAAACATGAAAATGTTATGAAAGAAGCCAGTCATGGAAGGCCACAATATTGTATGATTCCAATTACATAAAATGTCCAGGATGAGCAAATCCATAGAGACAGCAAGTAAATTAGTTGTCAGGGGATGAGAAGAGGAGGAAATTAGCACCACTTAACTGCTAAGAGATATAGGGAGTGAGAGAACAAAGTAGATGTGAACCAAATCAATAAATAGGACTGCAGAATGAGAGCTATAAAATTTCCTAATGCCCTGAAATTCAAAGTTCTTTCTAATTTCAGGAGTTGGCAGAAGCCTTGTCTCAGAGAGAAAAGACAAGTTTAGGCCCTAGGAATAATCAGAAGTGTCCTACCAATAATAAGGGAGTAATCTAGCCTGGGAATTCATGCCTAAATTAGCAAACCTCCCCCACCCTCCCCAACTTGCACTGTTATTCCCTCTAGCAGTAAGCCTACTGAGTTGGCCTTGGTAGGAAGTATGCTCCTTCCCTTCCTACCTGTAGCATCTGCTTCTTCCATTCCTTCTCTGAGGTGGCCTGAATGAGACTATGTACATGATTAGGTAGGTAGTTGTCCCTATAAATTCATCTAAACTGCCACTGGCAGCAGTTTGTAATAAATAATTCATCTTCATTTCTGAAAATTCATCTAGAAACAGTGCTTGGAGGACAATAACTTGAGCAGCTTAAATATTGTAGGTGATTAAAAACTGGAACATTCTTTACTCCTCACTACCCCCCAACAATTTGGGAGGTTCAGCAAACAATGGTATTTGTAGTATACATTCCAGATATTAAAGGAAGGTCACAGGGGTTGATTCATATTTCTGTTTTCTCCATTAGGAGACTCATAAGGAAAATGACTTTTGCAGACTTGCTCTAACATCATGGAGCATTAATCTCCATGAAGGTCTGTAGCTACTTCGGGAACACTGGGATTTGGGAGTTTTGAACATGTCTAAGAGAGGAAACAGCAGTAGATTAGAAAGAATAGGTTCCACTTCAACCAACTGGTATATAAGGGCTATCTCCTTTCTGTGGATATCAGTCTTCTTCCTTCAGTATCACATTGTAAGGAAAAATGACCATAAAGTTACTACTAGTTTCTCTGCAGTTTTACAGCAATTAGGTACTGTTGGAATTATAGGTATGTCTTGAATGTCTGATTTTCCTTTGCATGGGCTAAGGCAGCCTCAACGGATCATTGGCATGTGGGTAGACTTGTGGAGCCAGGCTGCCTTAGGGCTAAGTTGTTACTGGAGTGGATGGAAGTGTAACTGTAGCAAAGGAGAGAATCCTAGATAGCACCAGAACGAAAGCTGCCAGTTGTAAGATGTGAATATAGAGCTGCCAACAAACAATGAGGCAAGAGTACAAAGGCAGAAATTACCAGAAATAGGTCAGAAAATAGAAGAGAAATGTTGAGGAAAGGCCCAGGCTAGATGCTAGGAACCTGCAGTTAGCAGGGAGTGGCCATGTGATACCAAGCTAAGTCAAGCTAAGTCCCCTTGGTTTAAAGGTACAGAATTGGGCCAAACATAACAATGTATTTTTCTAATACAGGATGTTAGCTGTGGCACAGGCTACCTTGACACATCTTAACCTGAAGTAAAAATGGACTGAAAGCCTGCCATGATGACAATTGTACTTCATGAAGAGGATGAATTCCTAAACGGCCAGTCTCTGCTATTCAAATAATGTTACCATCTCCCAAAGAACAGTTTGGGGGCAGGAAAGAACAGTATTTCATTTCAAGCTGGACTACTCATCTACCAAAATACCACTCTGACCAAAGAAACAGATGCAGAATTACAGTCACAGCTGCATTCTGTATAGAACAAGTTGGATAATGGTACTCTAAATTGCTGATTACACTGCTAATGATTTTTTTAGTGGCATTGCATTGTTTTCCCACTTTTGTTTAAATATCTTTAAAAAAGCATCTAGGAAGTTTTAAAAATGGTATATTGTTAAATATCAGTAAGTGTTCCAAAGAGAAATTCCATATAACATCCATTTCTTGAAATGGCATTCTCATATGGGATTTTGTAGGAGTGCCATTTATTGACTAGCTATTTGTTTTAATTCACTTTCTCATCAATTTACTTGCATTTAAGATTACTGAGGCCAGGGCGCCTGGGTGGCTCAGTTGGTTGGGCAACTGCCTTCAGCTCAGGTCATGATCCTGGAGTCCCAGGATCGAGTCCCGCATCGGGCTCCCTGCTCGGCAGGGAGTCTGCTTCTCCCTCTGACCCTCCTCCCTCTCATGCTCTCTGTCTCTCATTCTCTCTCTCTCAAATAAATAAATAAATAAAATCTAAAAAAAAAAAAAGATTACTGAGGCCATAAGTATCTCAATATTAGTATTTGTATCTAGTTCCATAGTTGGTATGAAAAGATAATAAACCAACATATGTCATGATATGCTGGCACTGGTAATGTACTATGACTAGATTTACAAAAAGTAATAGCAACAGTACATTTTTATTTTTATTGTGATAACCATGCTGAAATTTATTACACTGTTAGTACTTTATTGTTTAATCATGCCAACATAGCTGAGGGAGGTAATTACATTTTTTATATAAAAATGCTGTTAATGTTTTTATTTCAATTTAGCAGATTATAGACTACAGATTAAAGCACTGCCATTGTTCATATTGTTTCTTGTGCATTTAAATGGCAGAACATTTTTCCCACAAATAGTAAATTCATTTCTACTGAATTATTTTATTAAGGTTTCTAAATAATTTGCCTCTTAAATGAAAACCTCAATCTGGCCAGGAACTTCCATACATTAGATTTATAAAAAACATTTTATACAGAAAATGGTGTACCAATCACAATTACATCACAATGTTTTTTGAGAATTTTTCTATTAAGGTAAATATCCTGTTAAAAAACTAAAAATACATTCTTGTTATGCAATTATAAATTCACAGGTAAATACTTACATTTGCTTCTAACAGATGATCCAATTTCAGTGATCTCTTAACACTGCAAACAAAATATTTAAAGAAATCAGATTTATATGCTTTAAGTAGCCGAATATTTAAGAGTAATAAATATAAACAAAGATTCTGAGTTACTTTTGCCAATGAAAGCAGAATACCATATGAAGAAAGCAAAGCAATTTTCATGATGATGAAACTGGATTTTTTAATAGCATCTTTCAATATGGAATAATTAAATATTCAAATGGACTTTTATTTGCGAGAGAGAGAATGAGAGACCGAGAGCATGAGAGGGAGGAGGGTCAGAGGGAGAAGCAGACTCCCTGCTGAGCAGGGAGCCCGATGTGGGACTTGATCCCGGGACTCCAGGATCATGACCTGAGCCGAAGGCGTCACTTAACCAACTGAGCCACCCAGGCGCCCTCAAATGGACTTTTATATATGGTTTCATATACATGCACTATTGTACAATTCAAGCATTAAAGTCATATTATGAAATAATCTTAGTAAAGATTAATATATTTGTGTTTTAAAATATCACTAATGAGAAATTAAGCATAAGGGCATAATAATTTACACACCCTTAATGGAGATGTTGAAAGTATATTATTTGCAGAAATAATGCACTAGGTATTAAAATAAAGGTATGAACAAGGTGAAAAAAGTTTTGCACATTATTCTAGCTTTAAACATGATTCAGTGCTACCAGACTATGACTTAACTGAGGAACAGATGCTCTATGTCTTTATAAGTCCCCAATCCATAAGAAAACTATTTTTTGTCTTCCCCACTAAACTGATTCAGGAACATGCCAGGCTCTCTCTGTGCAAAATCTGTTCTGCTAAACTGGATGCCCAGCTGTTGGTGACAATGCTTAGAAAGGAAAGCTGAATATTTATAATACTTTATTTCGTACAGCTGTCTTCTAAAGAGCAGTCATCAACATTTTATTGAATGCAGACTAAATGCTCAAAGGAGAAAAAGGTCAATATAAATTAAAACTAGTTTTCCCAGTGACAAATGCAGCATTAAAAGTACTTTCTTGATCCCTGAGAAACAGAAATTTCGTTATTTAAAATATTAGAGAATTTGACCATAAAAAAAAAAGGATTGTATTGTAAAGGTTGTATTATAGAAAACAGAAAAAAAATTTATACATATTAGAAAATGATTATTCATAAATAACTACTGACTTTTTTTCTATTGACTTTCAAACAAGTGACAAGAACAAGAAAAAAATAGAAGAGATGGACAATTTACAAACATTATGGAGTAGTAAATATTAAATACAAAAATTTAATCTATCAAAAAAGGGCTCACTTAATTTTGCTATTATATCTATAGTAGCTTATCACATAACATTATTTCTTGAGATTAATTAAATCACTTTGAAAAATTACTTGTATCTTTTAGAAGTCCATGTGAAATCAATTTAATGTGAATTCTCAATGAAGCAAGAAGAGAATAGAGGAATGAACAAATAAAAATGGCAGATGATCCAAAAAAGAATATATATTTAGTTTTGGAATATATAGTACTCTATTCAGGTGTATAAAATATTTTGGTATTTAATAAAATTTCAAAAAGTAGAAATCAAAAACTAAAAGTACACAGCACAGAGTTTTTTATTCTGTTTTTAAATGCTAAGATGTAATACTACCTATTAGAAGGAAACAAACCCCACCCTGATATTAACTGCTCAAAATATTACTTATTGATGATTGATTCTTAGAGAAAGTAACTCAATGTTTGGATTTAAAAGATTTCCGGTTTAGGTCCTAGGGTGATCTAAGAAGCTCAAGGAAATATATAAAAGTAAACAAGAAAGTGAGCTGGGTTAGACTGTTATTTCCCACTTTTAACAGTTCAGTGAGAATCTAAAAACATGATTTATTGTGGGTGATATGGTTTTCAGATAATTCAGGCTTGTAAACTAAAACCTGGTAATATTTATAAGAATCATGAAGAGATTTAATAGATGAAACTAAGAAAAATCTAAGAAATCACTTAGTACATCCAATATGGAAGAGTTGGTGTGATGTGCCCACTGTCCCACAGCTTGAAGGGCAGAAACTCAGATCTTAGGTCCTGTGCACAACAAATCTTTGTTGAACTGATGGGGAGGAGTTAAGAGGTAAAGAACAGCAAACCTACTAGAGGATTTTATGACGATCTATTAGAACTAGGCCCAATGCCGAAGTATGTTATTAAATTAAGTACATACTATATGCTTTTAATCTTATCTTATCCACTCTTTTAGCAACAAACAACTGTAATATAAGCATGAAATTATGTTACATGGAAGAGGATGATGTTAATAGGAACAGAGAGGAAGAGATGGTTGAAACTATACTATAAAGTAAGAACAGACAAAACTTGATTAGATCTATGGGATAAATATTTTTCTAAAGTATTTACTCACTTGTTACCAGTATTAGTTGGCAATTAAAAGCGGTATCTCTGGTAGTTCTGTAAAGTTATAAGCAGTTTTAGGGGTTATTACTTTGGTTTAAAAAAATGGATACACCATGGGGCACCTGGGTGGCTCAGTCGTTAAGCGTCTGCCTTCGGCTCAGGTCACGATCTCAGGGTCCTGGTATCGAGCCCCGCATCAGGCTCCCTGCTCTGTGGGAAGCCTGCTTCTCCCTCTCCCACTCCCCCTGCTTGTGGTCCCTCTCTCACTGTGTCTCTCTCTGTCAAATAAATAAAAAATCTTTAAAAAAAAAATGGATACACCAAAAAGGACTCAAATAGACATTTCTCCAAAGAAGATATACTACTGGCCAATAAACATATGAAAAAATGTTCAACATCCCTAATATTAGGAAAATGCAAATCTGAACCACAAAGAGATACCATTTCACAACCATTAGGATGTCTATTATAAAAAAAAAAAGAAAATGCTGGCTAGGATATGGAGAACTGGAATGTTCGTGCACTGCTGGTGGGACTGTAAAATGGTACAGCTGCTGTGAAAAAGTTTGGCAGTTCCTCAAAAAATTACATGTAGGATTGCCACATAATTCAGCAATTCCACTTCTGGGTATATATCCAAAAGAATGGAAAGCAGAGACACAAACAGGTATTTGTACACCCATCCATGTTCATAGCAGCATTATTTCCAATAGCCAAAATGTGAAAACAATGCAAGCGCCCACTGACAGGTAAATGAGTAAACGAAATGTAATATAGATATACAATGGTATATTCTTCAGCTTTAAAAAGGAAAGAAATTTTGACACATGCTACAACACAGATGAACCTTGAAGATATCATGCTAAATAAAATAAGCCAATTATCAAAAGGGCAAATACTGTATGATCCACTCAAACAAGGTACTTAAAGTAGTCAAATTCATAAACACAGAAAATACTGGTTGCCACTAGAGGAAGGGTGAATAGGTATGGGTATAAAATTTCAGTTTTGCAAGATGGAAAAAGTTTTGGAGATAGATGGTGGTGATAGTTGCACAAGGTGAATGTACTTAATGTCATAGAACTGTACACTTAATGATTAAACTGTAAACTTTCGGGGCGCCTGGGTGGCTCAGTTGGTTAAGCATCTGCCTTTGGCTCAGGTCATGATCCCAGAGTCCTGGAATCGAGTCCTATGTCGGACTTCCTGCTCTGCAGGGAGTCTGCTTCTCCCTCTGCCCCTCCCCCCACTCATTCTCTCAATCTCTCATTCTCTCAAATAATAAAATCTTTTAAAAAATAATTTTTTAAATGGGCACTTATCTACTGTATCCTAATTTCCTCCCTCGTCCTGGTAATCTTATTACTTCTGCAGGTTACTTCCCACTTCCACCTTAACCCAAATTTACACCTATGTCCATAATTTAACTACCATGCTTCATTTTTAGGTGTACTAAATTTAGATTCATTGGGATGAAAATTCTGGTTGCTACCAGCATTTTGCTCTTGAGAATTTAGGAAAGATAAATACATTTGACATGCAATTTCATATCAAGAGGAATAGAAAGTAATTATGTTTGTGGGATTAGTCATATTACTAAGACTATCCTCCCCTATTTTATTTAACTTATCACATGGTAGTATCCTGAATAGGATTCTCTGATTCTATCAGAACAGAACAAGTACAGGAGTTTCATTATACAACATTACTAACACTGATGACAATATAAAAGAAATTACTTTAGAAAAAAATGAACTTTCATTTGATTTCTAATTAAGAATGTGGGACTCGATCCCAGGACCCTGGGATCATGACCTGAGCCGAAGGCAGACACTTAATGACTGAGCCTCCCAGGCGCCCTTCCTCCAATCCTGTTTAAGGTAGTTTCACTGCAGGTTCCCAAAAGATGTCTTATTAACGGTCTTATCTCTAATGTAGTATCTTATATGGATCTATGTCTTAACAGTTCTGGAAAAACCTAAACCATAATCTTTTCAAATATTGACTTTCCTTCATTCTTCCTTTCTAGACTTCATCTAGAAGTAATTTTAGACTTTATAGTTCCATTTTCCATATATCTAAACTCTTATTTCTTAGCATTTCTTGTCTCTGTAGTGCATGTGGGCAATTCAGAGCTATCTTCCAGTTGTCTAATTCTTTCTTCAATTGTATCTAATTTACTGTTTAATCCATGCATCGGTGTTTTTTTTTTTTTAAATAATTTGATGAGTATGGAGGGTAACTTTTAATTTTTACTTAATTTTAAACTTAAAAAAAAACTAGGAGTAAGAGTTCTTATCTTTTACCCAGACTTATCACTTGTTTACATTTTGCCCTATTTGTTTTATCATTCTTTCTCTCTTGCTCTAGTTCTTTGACTTACAGTAGCTTATGCTCTGATAAACCCATCTAAGCTGAAAATGCAATTAATACACCAAACCTACAAAACATTATAGCCTTGCCTAGCCTATCTCACAACACTTATATTAACCTATAGTTGGGCAAAATCATCTAACACAAAGCCTATTTTACAATAAAGTACGGAATATCTCATGCAATTTACTGAATACTCTATTAAAAGTGAAAAACAGAATGGTTATATGGGTACAGAATAGTTTTAAGTGTATC